CGCGGGCAATGCTCTCCAGGAAAGCGGGAACCTCCTGGTGGGCCTCCTTGAGAAGCTCGAGCAAGTCACGGACAACACCACGGTTGCCACGGTTGAAGAAAGCAGTGGCGATACCGGTGTTACCGGCACGACCAGTACGACCAATGCGGTGAACATAGTCGTCAATGTCAGTGGGAAGATCGTAGTTGATGACGTGGGTGACGTTAGGAATATCGAGACCACGAGCAGCAACGGCAGTAGCAACCAGAATAGGGCAGCGACCGTTACGGAAGAGCTCCAGAGCACGCTCACGCTCGCGCTGTGTGCGGTCACCGTGAATGGCGGTCGCAGGGAAGCGCTGGTTAATCAGGAAATCAGAGAGCGAGTCGGCCATGCGCTTGGTTTCAACGAAAATGAGGGTCAAACCAGTGCTGCCGTGAGTGTGAAGAATATCGAGCAGGACGGAGCGCTTGTCAGCATCCTCGACATACTCGACCTTTTGAGTGATGTTCTCCGAAGTACTTCCGACACGACCAACGGACAAGAAAATGTAGTCCTTGAGGAAATCGCGAGCAAGCATTTGGATATCGCGGGGGAAGGTGGCCGAGAACATGAGTGTCTGGCGATCGTCGACACCGGGCATATCCTCACCCTCGACAATACGGCGAATCTGGGGCTCGAAACCCATGTCCAGCATGCGATCAGCCTCGTCAAGAACGAGATACTTGATGTTAGCCAGGGAGATACGGCCACGCTCAATCAGATCAACCAGACGACCGGGGGTGGCAACGAGGAGATCGCAACCACGCTCGATCTGACGAAGCTGAGAGCCGATGTCTGCACCACCGTACACGACGCAGGGGCGAACCCATGAGCGGTAGGCGAACTTGCGGGCCTCCTCGAAGATCTGAGAGACCAGCTCACGAGTGGGAGCAAGGATGAGGGAGGTGGGGTAAGCCTTACGCTGGCGGCCGTAGCTGAATTGACCACCACCGCCACCCTGGGTAGGGGCAGCAGAAGGACCGTTCTGGAAAGCTTGAGAGAGGATAGGGAAAAGGAAACCACCAGTCTTTCCGGAACCAGTCTGGGCACAGGCCATAAGATCACGTCCGTTCATAACGATGGGGACCGAGTACTTCTGAACAGGGGTAGGGATGACATAGCTGGCAAGCTTGATGTTGGCAATCAGGTGGTCGTCCAGGGGAGGGTTAGTGAACTGGGTAACAGGCTCTGGGACATCGTTTCCGGAGGCCTCAACGGGGATATCATCGTAGTTGGAGAAATTGATTCCAGTCTGCTGCTTAGTGGGGTCGTTTGGCACTCCGAACAGCTCGCGCTCCAGGCGAGCATTGGCAGGACCGGGAACGTGCTTGCCATCGCGCCACTGGCCATCGCCTGAGCCACCACGGGATTGCTGGGAGCCACCACCACCGCTGTAGCCGCCGCTGCTGGTACCACCGCTAGCACCACCATAAGAGGATCCTGGGTTTCCGTAAGCATTGGGATTGAAGGGCCGGAGTTTTCCATCGGGAGTCCAGCTGGTCATACCGTTCGCGGGGCCACGAGGGCTGAAGTTGGGAGCGCTAGCATTAGCCCAGTTGGCACCGGCGTCACTAGAAAATACAAAAATCAGTTGCCGGTTCATGATAGTCAGTCATTTTGGTACTGTACCGAGGACCACCGAAGCCAGGTCCAGAAGGAGCAGCCTCAGCGTTAGCACTGGGGGCGGGAGCGGGACCAGAACCGGGACCACGCTGGCGAAGGTGAGGAGGAATGTAGGCAGCACGGCCAACAGGGGCGTTACCCTGGGGGGCGTGTTGAGATTCGTTGAGGGAAAGGTTTCCCATTTGCAAACCGTCGGCCATTTTTGCGGTTGAAAGTGTCTATTGCAAAGCAAGAGTTAGAAGATGTCCGATTTCGACGGTGAACGATGTTGCGTACAGGTTTTTTCTGCTTCACCGGAAAATATTGGTCGTAGATAAAGCGCAAGTGATCTGGAAAAGATACTTGCAAAGAAAAACAAATCCACGTAAAGTGTACCTTTAGAGAGAGAGTGTGTGTGAAAAGATCAAATCGCTTTTCTGTTTTAACTCGATAAGAAAAAAAAAAGATCGAGTGGCAACAAGAAAGCTCAGGAAAACCACAGAGAATATGGAAAATGCAAATCTCCGGAATCTAAGAACTCTAGAGAGAAGAGAAAGAGAGAGAGAGTAGTGAGAAAAGGGATGATGGAGGGGGGTTGAATCAAGAGAGAAAGAGAACGGATGAAGTCTGTGGGAAGGAGGCAACAAAAGTTGGAGACTTGGGGCGTGTGTGGCTGTTGGAGGTACCTGAATGGAACCTATCTCTCTGCTGTAGTTACCTGCTTACTAGAAGTACCGACCAGGTACCTACCGCCACTGAAGAAATTTCTACTCGCCAGTTGCTGCACGTAGGCGGTCTGGACACCCTTGCCTGACTAAGATAGGAGGCGAACCTTATGATCTGAGTGATCACCACCTACGTGATGGTCACATCCATGGATGATCTATGATGAGGGTCATCGGACTTTGAAATCCAGGGGTTTAGGGGGACAGAAGGTCCAAAAATAATGTCTCATTGATCTAACATCATTTCTTAGGCATCATACTGTTTCTCTTTCTCTTGCTGCTGGCTTCGCCGACGGGCAATCCAGATACCCACAGCGGCTACCAGAACGAAGAAAATCACGACCAGCTGCAGTAAGGAAGATGGCGTGGCCTCGGGAGCATCGGGAGCATTTTCGGTGACACTTGGCTCTTGGTCGAGTTCTTAAAGTTCTCCAAAATCATCAGCCACTTCCAACTAGCAGCAGAAAAACAATCGCGTAGACAGTCACCTGTCTAGAGCTCATCGCGGCTACCTTTTTCCTCGGTCTCGGTCTCGGGCTCAAGCTCGAGCTCGCCGCTCTTCACAATCTTGACTGCCAGCTTGGGCTTGTCGCCGGATCCCTTGGGAACGTTTTGGATCTTGTCGACAACCTCGTAGCCCTCGAGGACCTCGCCGAAGACGACATGGCGGCCATCGAGCCAACTGCATTGTTTCCGTTAGTTATTGCACCAAAGGAATCACTGTGAGGGATACGAACGAGGTGATAGCGGTGGTGATGAAGAACTGAGAGCCGTTGGTGTCCTTGCCGGCGTTGGCCATGCCTAAAAATGGTCAGATGCCTGTGAGATTGAATCAAATGAGTGGGAATGCCTACTCAGCTGTCCCTTCTTGGTGTGACGCAGCTTGAAGTTCTCATCCTTGAACTTGTTGCCGTAGATCGACTTTCCGCCGGTGCCTGTACACACTTAGAATCATGCAATCAATTTGCTCGGAGGCTCACAAACCATCGCCCTTGGTGAAGTCACCACCCTGGATCATGAAGTCCTTGATAACACGGTGGAAGGTAGAGTCCTGGTAACCAAAGCCCTTCTCGCCAGTAGCCAAAGCGCTAGACGTGGGTTAGCATATGCAGGATAAACGTTGCAGACGTTGACATAGCAAGTGCACCATACCGGAAGTTCTCAGCGGTCTATATAAATAATAATGTCAGCAATAATTATCAATTAGTTACTGGGAGTATAGTTCTACGGACCTCAGGGACGGTCTTGCCGTACAAGCCCATCACAATGCGACCGAGGGGTTCGTCTCCATGCTGAATGTCAAAGTAGACCTGTCACCAACAATCAGTACTGCTTGCATATAGCCCGAGTCGGAATATCAATGTCAATCACCTTGCTGGTAATCTTAGGGCCGCGAGGCTCCTTGGCCTCTTGGGCTTGAACCAGGGCAAAGCCAACGGCGAAGACCAAGAACAGGGACACGAGAAGATTCCGGAAATACATGATTGTTAAATGCCACTGCTCTGGTAGGATACAGCGAGACGGGAAGATAAAGTAATTGGGAGCGGAAGAAGGCCAGCTTGCAATGCGGAGAATAGACGGGTTAGTGCCATGGAATTCAGGCACCAAGTTACGGAAAAACGTTGACGGAGGATTTCTCCCGGAGTTCAACGAGAGTAACAAGTGACGGCTCCATACGATTGTCAGGACATCAGCCAGCCAACACAGTTCAAGATGGTATGTTAGCCACAGTCAAGACGCAATACACCCTCTAAAGAAACCTGCTAATAGCCTTTAGGTCTTTATCCTTGGTGTCAATTTCCCCGAGCGGAACCTGCTCAAGGCAAGCCAACCCGCACGAATGCGCCCATAGCCTCGATATCCCAACTAACATGCATTGAGCGCAACAGAAATCCCTCGAGACCTTCTTCGGAATCGGCAGCAACGGCTCCGGTCACCTCATGTCCCGCTTCAACATCCATCCGACCTGCCGCGTCGGCGAGCTGGCCAACAAGCAGGTCCTCGACCTCACAGCCGTGCTATCTGAGATGAAAATCGAGAATGATCTGCGCAGAGAAGTTCTGAATGATATCAAGCGCATGAAAGAGACCGGAACTTACCGCGGCCGACGTCATGCGCTGGGCTTGCCTGTGAGGGGACAGCGGACACGGACGCAGGTGGGTTTCCCCTTCCCCCCTGGTGCTCTATTGATATCTCAGATTGCACCTGAGAGACCTATGCGAGCTTATGGTTAACTAAATCTCAATAGATCAAAACTCCTGTCAAGTTGAACCGCATGGAGCGGAGACTATAAACTTGATAGTGTCGTGTTCGATTGTTACTCTTATGGGATTGTCTCACTGTTTTTCGTGAGAGGCATGGATTTGGCGTTGTATTGATTTCTGGCACTCGACCTTTGCCAGTTTGTATGTGAACGGAACCCCTCTGTGGGTGTATTATAGGCTAGACATAAACCTGGGGTGAATGGAAGCTTCAAAACAGAACTATATATATGTACGGTAAAGTCGTAGTGAATGTCAGGCTGTAGTCTGATATCTTTCCAATTCTGAGCTAAAGATGTACGCAATGATGGGAAAGTAAGGAGAAAAAAACATGTGTAAGTCTAAACTTTTGCCCTCAACCAAGTGTTAAACGCCAGGCCCATATGTGCACTCATGCCTGCGAAGGCAGTACGCCTTCGCCACGGTTGATTTGGATCCGCTTATCCTCCCCCGCGCTGACAATGCCCACCGTCTTGTCCCAGCACACGCTGAACACCTTAACACCTTCACCGCCAACCCGCTTGCTATCGGACTTACCTTCCTCCTCGAGGCTCTTGCGAGTAATTGAGTACACGCTCTCACCAACAACACCTTCCTTGTCGGTCTTGGTGGACCGGATATCCCAAATTCTGCACGTGCCGTCGTGGCTACCGCTAATGAGTCCATATGTGCTGTGAGGGTCACGGGCCAAGCTGACAACAGCGTTGGTGTGACCTCGGAGAGTCATGGCAGCCACAGTCGTAGCAGATGCACGGGGGTCAATCAGAGTGATATGGCGGGCGGCAGTACCGGCAGCCAAGAGGCTGAGTTCGGGGAGGTGCTCGAGCGAGAGGAGTGAGTGTGATGTGGTGCGAGTGTCAACCAGAGAACCAGTGACCAAATCCCATGTCCGCAGGGAGTGATCCCATGAGGCCGAGTAACCAACGGTAGCATCTCTTCCATCGAAAATAGCAGCAGAAACAGGTGCCGTGTGGGCTGACAGGAGAGTCAGAGGACCACGCTGCGGTGTGCTAACGGAGGTGTTCAGCTTGCGGCGCTTTGTGTTCCGAGCATTGCTGGAAGGAGGCAAGTTCTCAGGTGCTGCCGGGGCATCAGTCTTCTTAGTTGACCAGAATCCAACGGTGCTATCTGCGGAACCAGTCAATAGACGGTTGGACTTGGCATGAACTGCTAGTGACTCGATTCCAGCCTTGTGACCATACAGCTCCAGCTGAGGAGAAATTTTTCCAGTGAAACCACCTTCACCCTCGGTATACTTCCACAATCGGACCGTGCGATCAAGACCTGCGGATGCGATCTGGTTTGGAGAAACGAACTTGGCGGTTCTGATAGAGGCGGTGTGGCCACCATCGGCGGCGGCAGGAGAGGTCGCGATAGTCTCAGACGACATATTCCAGATGCGAAGCAAACCATCATAGCTTCCTGATAGAATTCTTTCCTGGCCCTTGGTAAAAGTCGCACCTGAGGCCCAGGATGCAGCAGGTGAAGTCGAGGAAAGGACGTCTGTCGCGCTAACCCAGTCATCATGCTGGAACGAGGCGATGTGCAGGGGCGGAATCAGAGCTCGAACATATTCAATCTCGAGGGTCGTCTCAGCTGAGATACCGTTGTCGACCAAATATTCATCGATCGAGGTCCGCAAAAAAGTTCCATTGATCAAAAACTCAAATGGAATGGGCTTTTCGCTTGAGAGAAGGTTGTTCACCAGTGTCGATAGCGCATATCGTCGAAGCCCTTTTTAAAGGAAGAGTCAGTACTTGATACTACTATTTATGATTTCTGATCAGCAATGGGTCTCACCTGTAGGAACAAGAATTGGACCGGTGCTTTCAGGCAGAGCAATATCCTCCTGCTGGCTAATGAGCTGCACACGGACTTGTCTCTGTGCTGACTCTGCAGCAGCAGAAGTGACTAGATCTTCGCTCATTGTGAAATCGTTCAAATTGCTGCCGGTGTTGCACTTTTTTGGTGGCTGTCGCATTTTCGGCGGGTGAGGAAAAAATACGGCGACCCGTGCGGCACACTTGCGCAGAGCGCGGAGATGGCCCCACTCGGTCTATACAGCTTATTGCAATACACTGCAGTTTTAACATATATCTGGTGAATGAAGTGATATTTCTATTACGTAGATGGGGCTTATCCTCTAGGCGCTCTTCGAATCTCTGCAATAGCACGTCGCCGGTGATCAGACTCTGCGAACAAGGCCTCGATCAGGTCAATCACTTCGTCAGCAGAGAACTCCAAGCCCAACTCTCCTTCGAGCCAAAGGAATTTGATATCGGCGAGGGAGCTCTCTAGAATATTGATCATATATTGGAAACGCAGCCAGCTTGAAACGTAGATGGCAGTGACGGGTATTGCCTCGGCATCACCATCTGTCTCACGCATGAACAGGTCCTCCAATTTTGAGAGTTGGTTACAGAAGGAGACCAGTTGCCGTGACTGATCCTCCGAGATATCACCCAAATCTTCGATATCGATGACCACCTTGTTGATCACAGTAGATAAGAGAGATCCAACTGATTGGAGCAGCGCGGAATGAGACAGTATGGGTTGCCATTCCTTGTAAACGTCGCGAATTCGGTCGACGGTTGCGCTAACAGAATTCTCACAGTCTGCCTGGAATGGCTGCTCGGAGCATTGTCCAAATCCTTGGGCTCCGTCAAGCAGATCTGTGACGATAGTGCGTTGCGTCTGCATCTCTTTGCTATACGCAAGTTTGCCGAATTTCTCCAAAGCTTCAACATCGGGCTGGAGTCTGGAGAGTGCATGTTCTTCGACTAGTTTCCGGATCTCATCGGCAAGGTACAGACTATCATTATAAAGGTACATCTGCCCTGAAGTGAGTTTCAGCGAGTAGAATGTGGATGATGTAGCTTTGAACATAGCCAGGATCAAGGTTGGCAATGCAAGAAGACCAGCACCAGAAGAAGCGACGCGGGAATTGGCGTGGCTGAGCTCTAGTTAGTTTGCAAAGGAAACAAGTTGGAAGACGGCATGACTTACGCAGGCTGCGAAATATCCTTCGAATCGGTGATTTGCTGCTGAACGACCTTAAGAACAGACTCTGGGATATCGGTGATTGTGAAGACTTCCTTCAGGGTAACTTCTTTTGGTGATACAAATTGAGTTGTATTCTTCGTGTCGGTTGCGTTTGTCGATGATGTTTTCTGGGGCTCCGAAGGCTTATTATCAACTTTATGGTCATCTTCATCCTCATCCCCCCAGCCCCAGGCATCATCGTCATCATCTTCCGCAGAAGCAGCTGCTTCTGGTTTGGCATCGGGAGTCTCCTCGATGTCCTCGTCATCTAGACCCCACGCACTAACATCTTCCTCTTCTTCATCAGGCTTTGCTGTTTCTACTTTCTTGGGCTCATCTTCTTTATCGTCATCCCAGTGGGCGTCCCAGTCCTCATTGCCGGCATTCTCCAATAAAGCACCTTCAGCTTGTGAAACCCTTCCTCTTTCAATCCGTTCGACCTGTTTCGTTGTTCCCTGACTGGCGGCAAGGACTTTGCGGACGCTATCGAGCGAGTCGACTCTACGCCGAGTCAACCACAGGCGTGGAGCTTGGTTGACCCACGAGACGAGTTCTTCTTGGCCAGTCCAACCCCACGACTCTATCTGCTTGGTGAACTGTGAAACATGACTCAGGATGTTCTCAAACTCGGCGAGGCCACCTAGATCGGTGGGAATAGCAGGGGACAGCCACTCGCAGATTGCCTTTGAGGAAATAATCGCAATGAATGATTCGGAGAAAGTCGCGGACACCGATGACGGTAGATTTTGTCGCAAGTAGCCCAAAATGCTGGAAAGGCGATCCAAGGTCTCCAGTGCGGTCGCCTTTGAGGCCTCAGGCTCAATGCGAATGCTAGTCTCCGTCACCACCACACCATGGCTAGTTCCATTAGGGTGAGGTAGCAAGATCGGATTTACGATCGCCGACAAGAGGTCCCTTTGCAGTTTCTCAATGGAGGATGTGAGTATATCTAGTCGGGCCAGCGACGTAATAGTGCTCTCAATAGAACCGGCATCTGCATCTCCGCTAGAGACATGGAATTCGCCTTGTTGTCGGTCAACTTTCAATTGATCAGTCCAGCGCGAACGAAGGGCCTCAACAATCTCCGATCGTAACAGTGACACCTCATCGGAGAGTATACCCATCACATTTGTATTCGTAAAGAAGGCATCCTTTCCAACAGCTGCGTCGGTAGACTCCAATTGTTCAATGGCGGTGGTGATCTGGCCACTTCTGAGAGCAGCTCGCCCTGTTTCCAGCTGCTGGCACAAGCGGTGCACCTCCTCTAGGGTATCCGCTACGGCCTGATTGAAGGCAATCTCCGTCTCAACCAAGGTGACTTTCGCTCTCGCATCTTCAACCTTCGCCTGCAGGGGTTCGGTATGCTCATGCTGCGCGACTATTTCTCGCGCAGTTAATCTTGAGCGTTCTATGTCGGCGTGAAGTTGTTTCGCTTGGATAATCCAGTCGTCGGCATCGAAGGTGTTCTCGCGACTCAAGGAGCTAATCTCATTCTAATCAAAGCAGCGCTGGTCAGTAATGCCCGACGTGCGTAGATAGCCATTGGGGATTCCGTACCTCTACCTGCTCACGCGCCTTCGATATAAGCTCGAGCTCCCTGGCGAGAGCAGCTGCCGGGAAGTTACCAGCAACTACACTCTCCTCGGGATAGGTCCCTTCGGTGACAAAGCCCAGCATCGCCTGGCACAACTCCTCGGTATTTCCTGCCATGATACCAACTTTTCCAAAACTAAGGACAGATTGTCAGGGAACACGAGCTTCGGAGCTTCGGAGACAGATGTACATGTAAAGAGGAGTTGAGCTGTCAACAACCCGTGACTTCGAATTTGGGCGTCACCGCCCCCCACGTGGTGTATACACTGTATGCTTTCGCTCTAGATCGCTAAATTCGCTAGAATTTTAATAAAAAATATATCTCGTTTGTATATGAATGGTCGCAAAGAATCCAAAATCTATTAGCTCTCTCTCTTTGTTATATAAATTCTTTCAGTTGCCCGCTTTGTAAGGAAAACCGGAGACTGAGCTCTCTCCCAAACTTGGAAAACTCCGGGACCAACACAACTTTTGAAGACATCTCAGATTCACCGTGTCTCGGATACTCCCCCTGAGTCGAAGTACTTGTTTTCTGTAAGTCAATGTGAATTGCGTTCTCAGATCTTATTGCCTACGGAGGGGCATCAAGTGTATCAACCTTCTATCCCCAATTTCTGCTTGTCACCCCGCCTATGTCATTGTCCTTGACAATATGTTGCACCTTTCAAGACATGATTTAGAAAGGACCTCGCCAATTGCTGCTTTTGTTCCCATTCTATTCGAACGCGACTCGGGGTGGATATTCTTCTCTCATCCGAGTTGTGGTGGTCATACTTGTTCTCAGACAATTCCTTACCGCACGTGCTTATGTGCTCACGACTGTATCAAATGTTTAATAAAGTGACACGAATTGCTAACAAATCAACAAGACTGTCAACCCTACGGCGAAATATCTTCACTGGGTCTGTCCCATTGATCAATATGTCGCCCTCGGTGCAGAACAGTCACTTCAAACTGCTCCAGCAGTTCAAGCCTGATTACTCGGCGAGCGAGTTCACTCAGTATGAATCACAGCGCACCGGCATGAGAGTGGTCGTTATCGACCAGCCGGGTCCCAAAGTGAACGGTTACTTTGTGCTCGCTACCGAAATCCACGATGATTCGGGTGCTCCTCATACTCTGGAGCACTTGTGCTTCATGGGTTCCCGCAATTACCGCTACAAGGGCTTCCTAGACAAGCTGGCTACCCGCGTGTACTCCAGCACTAATGCCTGGACGGCAACCGATCACACTGCCTACACTCTGGATACCGCAGGCTGGGAAGGCTTTGCTCGTATCCTGCCAGTGTACCTGGAGCATGTCATTGCTCCTACCCTGACTGACGAAGGCTGCTACACTGAAGTTCACCACCTCGATGGCTCTGGAAATGATGCCGGTGTCGTGTATTCCGAGATGCAGGGTGTCCAGAACAATGCGGCTGAGCTGATCGATCTTGCAGCCCGGCGATTGACCTACCCGCCTGGTGTGGGCTTCCGCTATGAGACAGGAGGTATGATGGAACAGCTTCGTGTCTTGCCTGCGGAACGGATTCGCGAGTTCCACCGTGAGATGTATCAGCCTAAGAACCTGTGCCTGATCCTCACTGGAGAAGTCGACCAGAGCAACATGCTGGAGATCTTGGATAAGTTCGAAGACACTATCTTGGATGTCATTCCTAGCCCAGAGGCACCATTCAAAAGACCCTGGGTGGATTCCAAACAGGCTCCCTACTTGGAGAAGTCCGCTATCCAGAAAGTCGAATTCCCAGAGGAGGATGAATCATTTGGTGAAATCGAAATTCGATTCATGGGACCGGACTGCACTGATACTATCTTATGTAAGATGCAAAACCCCAAGATCTGAGATCAAATACTTACAGTATTATAGCCGGCGCTCTTAATGTGTCCCTTTTGTACCTGGCCGGTTCATCTGCAGCTCTGCTAGAGAACATCCTTGTTGAGAAAGAACAGCTCGCCAGTGCCGTCTACTATTCAACTGAGGACCACCCTAGCATGGAGGTTCGTTTCACGTTGACCAGCGTGGAAACAGAGAAGTTGGAGAGCGTCGAGAAGAGATTCTTTGAGATCCTCCAAGATGCGATGACCAAGGAATTAGATCTGAAGTACTTGAAAGAGTGTATCGCCCGACAGCGCCGAACCTGGAAGTTCTCGACTGAGTCTTCTGCCTCTTCATTCGCGGAGTACGTTATCTCTGATTTCCTGTACGGAAAGCGCGATGGCTCGACCTTGATGGATGTCGCAACTCTGAAGGAATATGATGTCCTTGAGACCTGGTCCGAGGACCAGTGGCGCGCTTTCATCAAGAAATGGATCTCAGATGCTCCCCATGTCACTATCTTGGGTATCCCGTCTCAGAAGATGTCCGCCACGCTTAAAAAGGACGAGGAGGACCGGGCCGCTGCGCAGAAGGAGCGTCTCGGCGAGAAGGGCCTGAAGGAGCTTGCCGACAAACTCGAAAAAGCCAAGGCAGAGAACGACAAGGAGATTCCGCAGGAGTTGCTGGAAAAGTTCGCCATCCCCGGAACTGAGTCAATCCACTTCATGGAGACCAGTACGGCTCGTTCAGGTGCTGCCCTGAAAGCTGGACGGCCCGACAACAAGATACAGCCACTTGTTGATGCCGACAAGTCTGACCAGTCACTTTTCATCCACTTCGAGCACATCCCTAGTAGCTTTGTCCAGCTTTCAGTTCTCATCTCAGCTGATTCTGTGCCCGTTCAGTTGCGTCCATTGCTGTCCATCTATACCGAGGCGTTCTTCAACATTCCGGTGGAGCGTGATGGCAAGATCATTGACTTTGAGCAAGTCGTAGTAGAATTAGAGAGAGACACCGTCGGATACTCGATGACGACTGCTCGCGGTCTTGGAAACTCGGAGATGCTCCGTATCTCCTTCCAGGTCGAGCTGGAGAAGTATGCGAATGCCGTCGCCTGGCTGCAGGAGCTGTGCTGGAAGTCCGTCTTCGATGTGGAGAGACTACGGGCTATCAACTCTCGTCTCTTGGCCGATGTGCCAGACTCCAAGCGCAGTGGTGACTCCATGCTTGCTGCTGTAAATGTGACGGTTCACTACGCAGAGGAGTCGATCACCCGGGCTCGTTCTACTTTGGTGAAGGCTCGCTACCTTAAGCGCGTCAAGCGTCTGCTCTTTGAGAAGCCGGAGGAAGTCGTCAGCCGCATGGAGGAGATCCGGAAATCGCTCTTCCAACCCGACAACGTGCGCATCATTGTCATTGCTGACCTCGAGAAACTCCAGAACCCGGTCTCGACCTGGAAGCCCTTCGCCGATGCCCTGGGCACCAGCACTGAGTTGCGGCCTATCACTGACCGGCGATCCCAGCTGAGCGATGCCGGCAAGAACATTGGCGGCAAGTCTTACATTGTCCCCATGCCGACTATCGACTCGTCCTTCGCCTACGCCACCGCCCGTGGTCTGACCTCGTACGATTCCCCCGACCTGCCCGCACTATTAGTCGCGATTTCGTACATGAACGCTGTCGAGGGTCCGCTCTGGGTTGCAGTTCGTGGCACTGGCCTGGCGTACGGCACTAATTTCAGTTACAACATCGACACTGGCTTTGTCAACTTCGATGTGTACCGGTCCCCGAACGCCCATAAGGCGTTCGAGTCTAGCAAGAAGATTGTTGATGACTATCTATCCGGTGCTACGACTTTCGATCCTTTGATGCTGGAGGGTGCTATTAGCAGCATCGTGGTCAACTATGCCAACGAGCAGATGACCGCCGCCAATGCTGCCCAGGGCAGTTTCATCCGCCAGGTCGTGCGCAACTTGCCCAGCGACTATAAGGAGAAGATGCTCAAGAATGTGCGCGCTATCACCATCGACCAGATCAAGGGTGCTCTACGTGAGATCATCTTGCCATTGTTTGATCCGAAGACTGCAAACTTGGTTGTCACCTGCGCGACTGTGTTGGAAGAGGTGAGTTGTTCCCCAGTCTTTACTATGTACATATGGATTACTAACTTTGATTGCGAACAGACCATCAATCAGGGCTTCGAAAGTTCCGGCTTTACTCCCACAGTTCAGGTTCTTAAGGAGTTTGAGGACGACTATGGTCTGAAGGTTGGTGACGAGGAGGAAGATGAGGATGATGACGAGGATGAGGGCTCCGAAACCGGATCCGAGGATAGCGACGACGAAAGCGACGACGAGTGATATGTTTTATGAACAATATCTACATGGGTAGCGAGGTAGATCACATAAACGGTGTTGTGATGTCAAAAGACTCTACATAACCTCGACAGTGATGAATCTACTCTCTTACTCACTGAAAACAGGCTGCAACTCAATAAACACCGAGATCTCAACTAAAACAAACAAAGCTGAAATAACCGCACTATATGAAATGTAGTCACACACATCCTCAGAAGAGGTAAATATGGTACACGCCAGACAAGACCCGCCAGACAAGACCCGCCAGCAACCGTCTTGCCTGAACCCGAATCCAATCTCGAAGACTGCAATAGTTCCAAGAATAGATAAATCGGTAAATTGACCTCCTACTTTACTCCCATCGCCGTGAGAAGGTACGGATTTCAGTCAACCCAGCCCACCCCGGCCTCTATGCCCGTCATCGTCCACAGCCCCGAACGAATTAGAGGTCAGACCCGAAACGAATAAAACTACCAACTCAACTCCTTCCGGCCCTTAAGAGTCCTCCGGATAAGAGTCTTACGTCCATTCCTGTCCTTCTTGCGCGCCAGGTATCCATGGCGGCGCTTTTGGACTCGTCGCGATGGGCTGAACGTCACACGGCGCACGCCTAGGGAGGCACTTGCGGAGAACGAGCGGCGCTGCGAGGGTGTCTTCTGGGAGAGGAGTGATGACAGGGGTGAGAAAGCAGTTGCGGTTGCGGTTGCGACTGTGGTTGGCGAGGAGAGGCGGCCGCCGAGTGTTCGCGAGGGTTGGAAGCGGGTTGGCGTGGAGAGGAGGGAGGAGAAGGAGCGGGATGAGAGCATTGTGGAGGGTGTGCTTAGTTGTTGGGGGATTTGGGAGAATCTGTTATCGGGGGAGTAGAGGTGTTAGCTGTCTGATTGGTTTCGTGGTGGAAAGGTTGTTGGCTGCTGTACCTAGTAATCGGGGTTCGCATGGCCGATGTGGTGGCCCGGAAGGCTGAGGGCACGGCCCTGGTGCGGAGGCAGAACATTTTCAGGACCCTGGCTTTGTTTGGAGGGCGGTTTTGAGGTGGGGTGGGAACTTTCTGGAGTTGGAGATCGGGTGAGGCCTGTGGACAAGACGCGGCGTCGGAAGACAGAAAATTAAGCGCGGAGCCGCTTACACGGACCCGCCTAGATATGCATGGTTACAATGATCTACGGTTGTACTTAGGCTATACAAAGGATAGAATTGGGTGGGTTTAGAGTGTAATATCTACAAACCCATAACTATAACTACGCCTGTTTAGCTGTGAATAAATAACACAGTATAGTTGCAGCGCATCCCGTTAAGAAGACCTACCCGATCGGGACTAGCGTCACCGAACTTTTTTGATCTCGAGATTCGAAATGCTAGACATCGCCCGTGCAACTCTCCGTCCTACTCGCAAATCACACTGAACTCAAGGGGAACTCTACTCCCAGCTCTGTCACTCCCATTACCGGGTCAAACCACTCTATAACCACCGCCGCCACCACTCTTCAACCTCAAGAAACCCATCAAACCCACGAAGAATAACCAATTCCACCAAAATGGCAACCCAAGGTCCCCAGGCCCTGCCTCCAGTCACAGTGCGAAACACACATGTCATCAGCCAGTCTGCAGCACATGAATTTCTAGCCGCCTATCTGGACCGCGCCGCGACAGACCCATCGTTGCAACCCAACGCCAGCATCAGCGAGCATGGCCCTGTCTCACGGACAACCACCGCAGCGCCGAACCTGATCCTGCACAACTTGAAGCGCGTTCAAATGGGCCTAGCTGGCGAGTTCCTTGGTCGTGATCTGACTGTCGCGAAGCAGAACCCCGGGGAGGACTATTTGGATGTTGCTGCGGGTATTCCACAGACCAACGGCCATAATCTGCTGGACGAAAGCAATGATCTTGTCATGAATGATGCTGAGTTTGGCATGGAGGCTGAGGCTTTCGCGGATCAGGAGGCCGGGATTGATAAGGAGGAGCGCAAGCGGAAGAAGAAGGAGAGACGGTTGGCGGAGAAGAAGGGTAAGGCCAAGGCGAAGGCTGAGGAATCCGATTGAGTGTGGTGTGGGTATATATATCTGCTTGTGGGCGTTGCTGCATTGGGTCGGAGTCTTTTTCCTTTCATTCGTTCTATTGCTCTATTACTCTGGACTGGTTGGGTTTTGGACGTACAAAAGCACTGCTCGCATTTCATGTCTGGAACAAAAAGTGTCATTTAAGAGTTTAGACGGATTGCTACAAGCCAATCAATACATAATGGAACATTTCCAAGCCTCGCTTTTTTACTTCTCGAGAGTTGGGTTTCATCATGTCGACACAAAAGTCGTGTCCATATCATATAAAAATCGCCAGTATAACACGCACCCCGTTTACAGCTCGCGATCCGCGGCCTTGACGGGCGTTTCACTGTCCTCCTCCTTGTTGCTCGTGACCTTGCCACCCTTCCAGCCAAGCGCAGCGAGACGCTCGGTGAGGATGGGGTGGGAGTAGTGGTAGCTAGCATAAATCGGATCGGCATCCATAGTGCTCAAGTTCTGGATCTGGAGCTTCAGTAGCGAGGAAGCGAGCTTGTCAGAGTAACCAAGATTCTGGGCAAATGTATCTGTGGAACATTGTTAGTAAAACCGAATGTAAATGTGATGGATCGAATGGAACATACCGGCCTCAAACTCGAATTTCCGGCTGAGGATGTTCATGAGAAGCTTCACGACAGCATCCATAGGAGCCAGGGCGTCGGAGAAGAGCAGGAAACCAATCATGATAGGCTGTTCGTTGATGAATCCGAAGGACTGGTACAACGACTTGTTGTTGACAAAGACGGAGAAGAGAGCGAAAATGTAGAACATGTGGGCCTGGATTACATAGTTAGTGATAATTCGCCAAAAGAGCAACTGAACAAATTCGTACCTGGGCAATGCCGAACAGCTTGGTGGTGTGGCTGAGGCTCCAGTGGCCAAGCTCATGGCCCAGCACAGCAACAACCTCCTCCGGCTCGGTCTTCTCAATCAAAGTATCATAGATGACAATGTGCTTCTTCCATGGCAGACCGTAGAAGTACGCATTGCTGTGGGCACTACGCTTGCTGCCGTCAATGACATGGAGCTCGGAGAGAGGGAAGTTGAGTCTCTTAGCCAAGTTCTCGACACCGGTCTTGAGTTCGCCGGGCTGAAGAGGCGAGAGCTTGTTGAACAGAGGCAGAATCGCAATGGGGTAGATAGTAATGGCGAAGATCTGGAGGAAGACACCGAAGAGCCAGAGGTAGTAGTAGAAGGAGGTGTCAAACTTCTGAACAATCTTAAGAACGGCAGTGATTATAGGAGTTCCCAAAACAATTCCGAGCATCTGCCCCTTGAGCATATCTGTAACCCAGAGCTTGACCGTCTGCTTGTTGAAACCGAACTTCTCCTCAAGCACAAACGTGTTGTAGTACGAGATGGGCAGCGAGAGGATAGTGCTTATAATGTTGAAACCGAAGAAGAATACCAATGTCTGACAAATTTCGCCTTGGAACCGACCGGGGAGGTACCGAGCCAGCACCAGACCGCTGAGGCCCCAGATCTTGGGGAGGACATCGCCGTAGATGAAAGCAAGGTTTTGGACTTGACCGTAAAGACCAGAGATGAAGCCGAACTTGGCCTTTGCGCGACCGTATGCCTGTAGTGATGTTTCAGTAAGCCTCTGTATATGATATAATTCTCCGTCATCGGGTTCATACCTGACTCTGGTCAAAGACCTTCTGCGTAACCTCTCCCTCGAGAACCTGGGGAGGCTTTGTCCGTTGCAAAAACTTGTACTGCCGAAGTGAGAGGAAACCTTCAAGGACGAACTGGCCCACTGAAAATCCCACAAGCACGTTCTTCCATGGGAAGAGCGGGCGATCGAGCAAGCGCGCCAATTGCTGGAGGACGGTTATTAGCGACGTGTCCACGGTGGAAAGCATATTCACCGTATAAACATGATAGTATCGATCAAATCAACTTACCTCGAGGATATACATGATCGAAATCGCGCAACTAGGCGAAGAAAGAGGACGTTGTTCGAGGCAGAAGAAGCTAGTTTGTTATTATCGGCAGCCTTAGTCAGATCTCATGCATGACCCTTCCATGGCCCGGTGTTACCCACAGAGGGGTACACGTGACCATAATGTAACTAGTTACCCCGCTGCTGTAGCTAGCTAATGCATCATCATCATTTCCCCTGAGCTACCAGTGTGTCATCTGGTAGCATGTCCGTTCCGATCTAGGAGCAGCTCCTATTTTGACGAAGGACCCTAGTTTTGTTTTTTTTCCATCAAATTTTAACTTGCAGCACTGGCAGCCGGTGCTGCGCCATATCTTAGGCGACACTGGTACCCAGTGTAGCCACGATCCGAATAGGCAGTCAAGCCAGCAGAAAAGCGATCACCCCGCCCCTTGTCCTAATCGACCTACCTTCAACCGATACAGAGCTCGATGCCACCACAGGTAACAGGCGAAAGGGCACTGCATAGAGAACGCCTGGAGAAAGCAATCTCGCTCTTATACCAGCTTCTGCTATACTTCGAGGACGGCACCAGACCGTACGCCCGGCACCTCAGCTCGGCGGAAGCAGAGTGGTACATCCAACAGATCGCGCGTGCGTACCCTCGACCTTTCCTTCCAACTCATACGGGTACCAGCTTCCGCTTCCCGCCAGACTGGCCGCTGGAACGTCCGCAACCGATCAAGCAGGCTATCGTCAAGATCGACCCCGCGCTTCGACGCGATGTCGCAGAGCCCAACGAATTCACCTCCGTTTCCCGTAGTGGTTTTAAACGACGGATGAGCTTTTCCTGTCCGGGACTGCGCGGCAGCGCCATCTCGGTGATAATGTGAGACAGGCAATCCCAGCATCATTACAAACTCGTCCGAGGGTGCTCAGGAACCCAGAGCCCCTTGAGCGGTAGCAACACCCCGGCACCCAGGGTGCTGCTGCTATTCTTCCGGGTCAATGACGTTCCCGGAAGCCAGGAACGCCCATACCCCAGCCTCAGCCTCCCGGAAGCCAGGAGCGCTGATGGATCCCCCTTCCTTTTTGCTATTATCACTTTCTTTTTTATCGCACTGACACGCCGACCGGGGCGGTCGGATTTTAAGCAGGGGCAGATGTTACCCACAGAGGGGTACACGTGACCATAATGTAACTAGTTACCCCGCTGCTGTAGCTAGCTAATGCATCATCATCATTTCCCCTGAGCTACCAGTGTGTCACCCGGGGCCTAACGCAACGTCGATCTCAGGAATTGAGCCTATGAATTAAGTAAAGTCTTGTTTATTTTAGGCCAAATGTCTTAGGTGTGAGATGAGGAGTTAGTGGGAGTTAATTAGATTCTAGTCTGCCAGCATTTGAAAAGTAAATAACTGGCGCTGATGCATTGCTGAAAGTCTTAGTACAATACTCGAAGATTGTAGATGTCATCTAAACTCAAAGGTTAGTATTTCTCGAGCCGCTCTATAGATAAAACCAGTTGATGGCTTAGCGCGTTTGATCATCCCCGTGCGAGGCAATACGAGTGGTCGTGGTCGTGCAATATATACATCCGACCTGCAGACTATCTAGCATCTACCACATTGCAAATGTTTAAATCGATTAAACATGCAGAAGCTCTTTGATTATACCGGCCCTAATTTCCCTGCATTTCAGATCACAGACCTATATAGGCCTATCTACATAAGATCCGATAATGCAGACAAAAAATGAGCAATGAACAGGAAACCTCTTGAGAACAACTCCCTCGTACGATGGAAATAAAAAGCACATATCTTATTCGCCGACTCCACCTGCATCCCGTTCGTCGTCCGTCCCTCAGATCAAACCCGAGCATCCAGTCGCGGACCAAATCAAGTGGTCGCTGACATGCATGAAGGTAAACCGATCAAGGTGGCGACAATACAGCATTGCGCATCTCCTCCATCTTCTCTATTCAGCCGGGGGAATCAGTTAAATCACGTCTTTAATTTTCCGACTCGTCATGACCATAAACTTTTTTGCAATCATAGATCGCAAGACTCGTGTTCGAGGGTTGGTGGGGTGGGATCGTTATGCGGAGATATAGCAAGATTTATGTGCAAATCAAATTCCCCAACATAACAGATCTCATTCCCCAATCTCCCCATTCCGAACTGGGAAATCGTTCAAAGGACTGCTTTACTGCTGCACAGGCTCAAGGGTGTTACCACTGCGAATTGAAAAGGTCAGCATTTGTCACTAGAAATAACCCCAAACCAGTAGACTTACGCAACAATGTTGGCCCATCCGATCAAACGCCAGTGCTTCTCAATTCTGCGACTGATGGCGATCTTCTCGCCAACTTCCGTGCAGGCGGGACTGGTCAAGCTGAGCTTAGCGGCATCAGCCTTGACACCGAGGACCTTAGCACCAGTAGCGGTAGAACCGATGTTAACCATCAGGACTTCGTTCTTGGCAAGCTTGGCAACCTTGGCCTGCTTGCCGTCGGCGGTCTTGACACCCAGCAAGCGGCGGAGCAGGAAGTAGTTGACCTCAATCTCAGTGTAGATAGCAGGAAGACGGCCACGGTGACCGAGAACGAAACCGACAAGACGATCTGCACGGCAAAGCGTGGGGTCGACACGGGTACCAACACCAATCAAACCACCAGGAACGGCAAACTTGAGGTCATTGTGCTCAGCGAAGAGAGACACAATGCGGGAGAAAATGGGTCGACACTGGATCTTGCCCTGCTCATCCTTGGTGACGAGACCGGGGCGGATCTCAATCTCATCGTTCAGCTTTACAACACCGGTAAGGATGGAACCACCGGCAACACCACCCTTGAGCTCATCAATCTCGGCACCGGGCTTGTTGACATCGAAGGAACGAATGATCATCATGTGAGGCGTATCCTGGAAGTTGCGGATGGGGATAGGAATCGTCTGGACAAGTGCCTCGTTGACAGCATCAATGTTGTACTTCAGCTGCGCGGAAATGGGGATAACGGGCGAGCCATCAGCAACGGTACCACGGATGAACTTGAGAATCGACTGGTAATGCTCAAGAGCGTTATCGCTTCGCATGAGGTCAACTGTTTATTTTCATACGTCAGTGCTTCGTTTCATCGACCGTTTACAACAACCAAGATTTTACCCTTATTTTGGAGAATGATGATGTGGTTGAGCTTCATAATCTCAATGGCAGCCAAGTGCTCTGAGGTCTGCGGTTGCGGGCAAGTTTCGTTTCCGGCAATCAAGAGGAGAGCGGCATCCTAATAAAATGATGTTAGCCTATCACCGATCCCTTGAGGTCCGAATTGGTGCAGTGAGGGATGAAACATACCATGACCGCGGCTCCTGAAAGCATAGTGCTCATCTGTGCAAAGCTGATTAGCATCAACCCTTAAGAGAAGCTAGATTCCCTAAGGTGCGCAAGATGCGCAAGGGAATAAATACTAACCAGAATATCGTGACCTATGATTGAAGATTAGCGGGGTTTTAATTTGGACATAGACATATTTAGCGAACATACCAGGGCAATCAACGAAACTATTTTTTTGGATTAAAGGTTAGCTTATACCGGATAAAAGGAGGGACCTTCGGGTTGGAGGGAGACTAGGGATTCGCGATACCTGACATGACGCTATATCATAAAATTAGATTAGGGCCACTTGAGGAAAGGCTCTGAGTTTAGACTTCAGAGGGGAGGCAGAAGTACATACCAGCAACTGATAACGACCTGTACATCCCTCGCGCTCACATGGCGGGTCGACTTCCTTCTCACTCTTGAAACTCTTGTAACATGTAGGGCGAGGGCACTCGGGGCTGTCACACTTGTAGATCTTCGCGTTGGCGTAACCAAGCTTAATGGTAATGTTGCGCTCAAGCTCGTTCTTGAAGCGAACGGTTTGAACCTCAGAAATAGCCTTGACGACGGTGGATTTGCCGCTGAAATCATATTAGTATGTGTGTAGGAAGAAAAAGGCGAGAGAAGGTGTCTAACTGTGCGACATGTCCGATCGTGCCTGGTAATCATGTCAGTAAATTTGTTATCTAGTAAAATAGGTGCGTTTCTGAACGCGCTTTCAGAAACGCATTCACAAACCAACAATCACATACCGATGTTCTGAGTAGCTTGCCGAGCAATGATCTCAGGCGAAAGAGGTGTCAATTTTGACAAGTCGAGGGTTTCCGGGTTAGGCTGCTCGGGCAGTTCTGGGCGCTTCGGTTGGGGAGCAGAGTCAGCCTTCTTCATGGCAGACTTGAGAGGCTTCTCCTCCTGCTCGAGGGGCTCCTGGTCCTCAACCTCTCCGCGAGCGTTGTGGGCATCGAGCAAAGGTGAGCCGGGCTGGGATCCCTCGTCAGAGAAATCGCCGTTGGAAGCCATATTTGCGGAATGAAATAGAATATCAACTCGCGATCAGCAGCAAAGTTGAATGAAAACGCAGGTGGTCGGACGAAGCTGGTGGAACGGTAGAAGGTGGAAGGTCGGATGAAAATTGCTTCCCGCCGATATGATAATGGAAGAATGTAGGTGGGGGATTGTGTGTAGTGGAGAGCCGGGCGGTGTCTAGATGGCAACTCTACATTACCTCTACGTTATAACGGTTTTAGTAAATATGTATAGAGAATATAGTTCAATTAGACGTTTGTTTAAGTCGTTTAATATAGTTTTAAGTGTCATGGTTTATTGTGCGTGATTCATTATCTTCTAAGAAAAATCCATAACTAATATACAACTAACACCAGGTACGCCACATCGGTTTTATAGAGCAGTGAGGGATAGTTAACATACTAAATCATTCTTATTCGACTTGAATTTTTAAAAGAAGAACTATTTCAAACCATAATCATAATTATCTTCTTGGGCAATAGACTCAGCTTCTTTTCATACATACTCATGATACATTGGTTGCCACTGAGGATCTATTTGACGGCACAAAGGGTATAAAAGTCGGGAGCAATGAGAAGTTACTCATCGTCACTATCACTCGATGACTCCACTTCTTCTTCAGAGTCGTCTTCGGAGTCTATCAGTGTAGACGGATCCTCCGCAGGCAACATGACAAAGGCAGCCAAGCATGTGATGCGGTTACCAGTCTCATTGGTAGTCAAGAGCTTTCCAATCTGAGCCGTATCCTTCTTTTCTTGCTTTGCTGCGGAAACCTCTTTCCCAGTAACCTTCCAAACACGGACGACTCCGTCACTGTTGCCGGTAACGACCAAGAAGTCGTTGCGGAATTCCTTTGCTTGACCTTCAAGAGTGAGGATTTCGAAATCTTTGATGCGGCCAGGGAACCCAGCTTCCTTCCCACCAACCTGAGCAACAGGGGTAGCATGGGAAATTGAGCATTCGGTATCATCCTCCGCTTTTTTCAGTTCTTTGGTCGAATAGAAGATCACTCGGCCATCCTCTGTAGAGACAGCCAAGAAATCTTCCTTTTCACCACCCTTCAAAGGCAAAGAAACATACTTCATCTGGTGAAGTTTGCTTCGTGGGCTAGGAAGAAGTCTGCATCTTGGAATCGAGTCCTATGCCAATAGTCAGAAATTTGATCAACGGTATACCATCCAAATAACTTACAATTCCGAACACGACTGCACCCCATTCGAAAGAAACAGCAAACTCCTCTCCTTCGGAGTCCCATGCAATGCGCCGGCCTTCTCCAGTGCTCCATCTCGACTCCTTGACACCCTGTAGGACTTCCCGGGTAAAGTTCAACACACCAGCCTTCCTGCCGGTCACCAGATTCCACAATCTCATACATTTCTCTCCTCGCCCAACACTTAGCATTAGCTTCATACTGGGGTGAACCGCAAAGTGGTTCACTCCAGACGGAGCAGCTCCGGGAGGCGCTGTGTCACCGCTTGGCCGTCCTTGAATT